CACACACACACGCCGCTATACCACACACATACATCGTAAACCACACACACACCTCGTTATACCACACACACACACATCGCTATACACTATATCACGTAAACACTACAATGCCACTCACACAATGCCTTACACACACCGCTTTGGTGCGTGTCAACTCTATTGCCGTCCTGTGCTAACACACGGCTCCGCAGGCGGAATGATTGCAATAACCCATCTGTTACGGAGCCGAGCGCGCTCACAAGATGGCAACTCCTCTCTCGCCGGCTCTTTCTCTCGCTCCCTCCATCCGCTCCTCCCCCCTTCCACAGAGAGCCCAGGTCGATGCTGGGACATCCACGGCGCATAGCGTCCGCGTGTCCCCCGCGCGCACCCAAACCCACGCGCCCCGCACGCACTCACGCGAGCATCCTCCTCTCTCCATTTGACCGCACACCACCACCGCCTCTCTCTCTCCACTCCACCCCGCCGCACACCACCACCACCTCTCTCTCTCTCCACCCCGCCGCACATCACTACCACTATCTCTCTCTCCACTCCCGTGCACAACGCGTCGCACACCCCGACACACACGCCCGCGCATCTGTATTGATCAGCGAGCCCTGATCTGCAGGTTGTGGCGAGCGACGGGTAAAGCCCACTCATTTAAGGACGCATACAATGCAATGTCTTGCACCAATCTGCCTCCCTCGCTCCACGCCCGCAGCCAGTCGTCTATTTGTATTTTCCCGGCACACACTGCCGCTGTTTTTATTATCGAGCAAGCAAGGCGTGTACAGGGAGGTGATTTGTGAGATCATTGCAAAAGGCGCCCTTCCCGAAGGGACCCGTAGCGGTTGGACATGGGCGAGATGGAGGGAAGGGTTGGTGGATCACGTAGATATCAGTAATACAACTCCCATTATCCCGTTGCGCTGGCTGAATGAGAGGTGGCCCATAGATGACAGTGCAACCACATGATGATTAAATCTCTCCGTGCCCAGCGCTGATTGTGTTGTTGTTTCTCTCTCGTGTGCTTGGTGGTGGTGGGCAGCGGTAGTGTAGTGGTTTGCGCGCTGCGCTACAAACACGGCCGACTCAGCCTCAAAGGAGTACTCGATCTTATTTGTAAATATCGCCACTTAGGAGACAAAGGCGGCCAGGTTTAGTGCTGGCCACCCACCCCCTCGTGTGCGGTGTCGGCCTTCATAGGTGCTGTGCGAGAGATCTTTGTCCGTGGTAGTGGTGAGTTTTCCTTGGGTACTCCGCTTTCCGCGCGCGTGCAAAAACATCCCAAGGCCGACAGAGCACGCTCGGCCGCCTTTGTCTCCCTAGCGGGCATTTTTACACATCGCACTAGGTAAGGCACTCATCTAAGGATGAGTGGACGTTGGGGAGGCCCAGGAACGATTAATATAATCTGAATGCGGTGTTGGTGGCCGTGAGCAGGAATCGAACTCGTGTATCTCTGGGTTCGTAGCACAGCGCGCTAACCGCCACACTACCGCTTCCCAGTATCAGCACCCCACAACCCAACACCCCCACAACCCAGCACCCCTACAACCCAGCACCCCCACAACCCAGCACCCCCACAACCCAGCACCCCTACAACCCAGCACCCCCACAACCCAGCACCCCTACAACCCAGCACCCCACAACCCAGCACCCCCACAACCCAGCACCCCACAACCCAGCACCCCACAACCCAGCACCCCATAACCCAGCACCCCCACAACCCAGCACCCCTACAACTCAGCACCCCCACAACCCAGCACCCCCACAACCCAGCACCCCCACAACCCAACACCCCACAACCCAACACTCCACAACCCAGCACCCCCACAACCCAGCACCCCCACAACCCAGCACCCCTACAACCCAGCACCCCCACAACCCAGCACCCCCACAACCCAGCACCCCCACAACCCAGCACCCCCACAACGCGGCATGGACTCGGTCGCGTGTACGCCGGTCTGCAGAATGCGGAGTGAGCGGCGGTGACTCCGCGCCGCCACTCCCCCAACTCCTCTCCCCTCCCCGTGCCACCCTTCTGCCGCTGTGGCTGAGCGACCGCGCGTCTCACTCGGGTCCAGTTCATTATTCGCGTGGGGTTCCAATTCCAGGGCGGGAGGAGGAACCACCGCACTCCAAATAAACACGGACGGATGCACTCCTCCCGTGCCACACCGCATCGCCTTCAAGCCAAGCAGCGCTGAGCTTGGCTAGTCATTGTGTGTGTGAGAGACCACCATCACTACCAGCGAAGCGCTTTCTAGGTGTTGCTTGTGCGGTGTGGTCAGGAGATGGCAGTGCCGGGTGTCCCCGTGATGCTGGGGTTCATCAGGGTTACTTCGGTTTTCTCCAAGACACGAAGACAAACTCTCATCACGAATGGGATTGGCCAAACATCCAGACGTAGCAGGACCCTCTTGATTGGAGTCTCGAGACTCAGAGAGCCTCTTCCTCACTGCCATCACCACGATTCCTGTGTTCAATTTAGCTGCCCCACGTCGATGGTTCGGGGAGGGGGGCAGAGGAGAGGGAGTGACAGGAGAAAGAGGGGGGGGGTCGGTGTGGAGGGGATGAGAAGGGCGTGAGAGGGGAGGGGATGGGGAGGGAAGGAGCGAGAGCAGAGGAAGTAAGGAGAGGAAGTGAGAGGGGGTGGGGTGAGGGATGATCGGGGTGAGAGGGGGTGGGGTGAGGGATGATCGGTTGAGAGGGGGTGGGGTGAGGGATGATCGGGGTGAGAGGGGGTGGGGTGAGGGATGATTGGTTGAGAGGGGGTGGGGTGAGGGATGATCGGGGTGAGAGGGGGTGGGGTGAGGGATGATCGGGGTGAGAGGGAGTGGGGTGAGGGATGATCGGGGTGAGAGGGGGTGGGGTGAGGGATGATCGGGGTGAGAGGGGGTGGGGTGAGGGATGATCGGGGTGAGAGGGGGTGGGGTGAGGGATGATCGGGGTGAGAGGGGGTGGGGTGAGGGATGATCAGGGTGAGAGGGGGTGGGGTGAGGGATGATCGGGGTGAGAGGGGGTGGGGTGAGGGATGATCAGGGTGAGAGGGGGTGGGGTGAGGGATGATCGGGGTGAGAGGGGGTGGGGTGAGGGATGATCGGGGTGAGAGGGGGTGGGGTGAGGGATGATCGTGGTGAGAGGGGGTGGGGTGAGGGATGATCGGGGTGAGAGGGGGTGGGGTGAGGGATGATCAAGGTGAGAGGGGGTGGGGTGAGGGATGATCGGGGTGAGAGGGGGTGGGGTGAGGGATGATCGGGGTGAGAGGGGGTGGGGTGAGGGATGATCGTGGTGAGAGGGGGTGGGGTGAGGGATGATCAGGGTGAGAGGGGGTGGGGTGAGGGATGATCGGGTTGAGAGGGGGTGGGGTGAGGGATGATCAGGGTGAGAGGGGGTGGGGTGAGGGATGATCGGGGTGAGAGGGGGTGGGGTGAGGGATGATCAGGGTGAGAGGGGGTGAGGGATGATCAGGGTGAGAGGGGGTGGGGTGAGGGATGATCGGGGTGAGAGGGGGTGGGGTGAGGGATGATCGGGGTGAGAGGGGGTGGGTTGAGGGATGATCGGGGTGAGAGGGGGTGGGGTGAGGGATGATCGGGGTGAGAGGGGGTGAGGGATGATCGGGGTGAGAGGGGGTGGGGTGAGGGATGATCGGGGTGAGAGGGAGTGGGGTGAGGGATGATCGGGGTGAGAGGGGGTGGGGTGAGGGATGATCAGGGTGAGAGGGGGTGGGGGATGATCGGGGTGAGAGGGGGTAGGGTGAGGGATGATCGGGGTGAGAGGGAGTGGGGTGAGGGATGATCGGGGTGAGAGGGGGTGGGGTGAGGGATGATCGGTTGAGAGGGGGTGGGGTGAGGGATGATCGCGGTGAGAGGGGGTGGGGTGAGGGATGATCGGGGTGAGAGGGGGTGGGGTGAGGGATAATCTGGGTGAGAGGAGGTGGGGGATGATCGGGGTGAGAGGGGGTGGGGTGAGGAATGATCTGGGTGAGAGGGGGGGGGGTGAGGGATGATCGGGGTGAGAGGGGGTGGGGTGAGGGATGATCAGGGTGAGAGGGGGTGGGGTGAGGGATGATCGGGGTGAGAGGGGGTGGGGTGAGGGATGATCGGGGTGAGAGGGGGTGGGGTGAGGGATGATCGGGGTGAGAGGGAGTGGGGTGAGGGATGATCGGGGTGAGAGGGGGTGGGGTGAGGGGATGATCGGGGTGAGAGGGGGTGGGGTGAGGGATGATCAGGGTGAGAGGGGGTGGGGTGAGGGATGATCAGGGTGAGAGGGGGTGGGGTGAGGGATGATCGGGGTGAGAGGGGGTGGGGTGAGGGATGATCGGGGTGAGAGGGGGTGGGGTGAGGGATGATCAGGTTGAGAGGGGGTGGGGTGGGGATAATCTGGGTGAGAGGGGGTGGGGGATGATCGGGGTGAGAGGGGGTGGGGTGAGGGATAATCTGGGTGAGAGGGGGTGGGGTGAGGGATGATCAGGGTGAGAGGGGGTGGGGGGAGGGATGATCGGGGTGAGAGGGGGTGAGGGATGATCGGGGTGAGAGGGGGTGGGGTGAGGGATAATCTGGGTGAGAGGGGGTGGGGTGAGGGATGATCGGGGTGAGAGGGGGTGGGGTGAGGGATGATTAGGGTGAGAGGGGGTGGGGTGAGGGATGATCGGGGTGAGAGGGGGTGGGGTGAGGGATGATCAGGGTGAGAGGGGGTGGGGTGAGGGATGATCGGGGTGAGAGGGGGGTGGGGTGAGTGCTTGGGGACCCGAGTTTTGGATCCAGGCCTAAACTCGGCGCGTCCAAGGGGAATGACTCGGGGCATAGATTTGAAGGGGTGGCGGGGGGAGACTCGGGGGGGGGGAAATCTCTGAATCTGATAATAACATAACACACACACACCAAATACACTGACATCTCACACAACGCGTGTGTGCGCACGTGTGTTATCGTGAGCATCATTAATGGGCGGGGGGGGGGGGTGCCGCGCTGTGATTTGGTTTCACGAAGCCACGGGGTTTGCTACTGAGAATGAAGCGTTCAATACAGCGCGTTCCGGGCGCCACAAACACGCATGCGCCACGTGTGCGTGCGTGTGTGTGCGTGCGCGTGTACGTGGGTGCGTGCGTGCGTTCTCAAAGCGGAGGAGGGCGCACCCCAAACGCACGCTCTTCCCCACGAGCGCATTCACAGTCGCGTGCGGCGGCGGTGGCGGCAGCCGCACACCAACATCATCATCATCATCAGGACCATCATCATCAGGACCATCATCATCAGCACCATCATTATCAACACCAGCAGCAGCAGCAGCATCATCATCACTGTGAGCACGCGGCGCGCGGCGTAAGAGACGCAGGGCCGTGTATCGGCGATGGAGTCGCGCTAACGGAGAACACCCTTCCAGCGGAGACAGGGGAGACACGCGCGGAGAGCGGAGGAGGGAGGGGAGGGGGGAGCAGCTGGAGACGGCGGGACGGGGACAGCGAGGGAGGATGCAGCGCAGAAATGCCTACAGACCCGGAGCCCAATCTCTGTGACAAGGCGCTCACCATCGTGGCCGAGCTGTGCTTCAAGGGGGTCGTGTTGCCCGAGCGCTGCCAGGACTTCGCCCCTGTCCTCCCGGACGACAGGTTCCACTACCGCCAGGAGGGCGCAGGTAGGGGCGGTGCGGGCGGCGTTAGTTGAGCTGTTCGCGGATCGCTCATCCGGGCTCCCTCGCCAATCGCTCAGCCGCAGAGATTGTCTGATAGCGGAACGGACGGACAGGGAAACATGCGGACGGGCAATCACACAGACGGACACATACACGGATACACGCACACGGACATATAGACGAACACACATACACACACAGACAAAGACGGACGCACACACAGAGACACGCAGCCGGACACACACAAACGGAAACGCAGACGGACACACACACAGACATACATACACACAAACGAACACGCGGACGGACATACACACAGACAGACACGCAGACGGATACACACACAGATATATACACACACACAGAAGGACGGACACACACAAACAGACACGCGGACGGACACATACACACACAAACGGACACACACACACAGACAGACGGACACACACAGACAGACAGACACATACACACAGACAGACAGACGGACACATACACACACACACAGACAGACCGACGGACACATATATACAACAACAGACAGATGTACACATACACAGACAGACGGACACATACACACAGACAGACGGACACATACAAACACACACACAGACGGACACATACAGACAGACGGACACATACACACACAGACAAACAGACGGACACATACACACAGACAGACCGACGGACACATACACACAACAACAGACAGATGGACACATACACAGACAGACGGACACATACACAGACAGACGGACACATACACACAGACAGACGGACACATACAAACACACACACAGACGGACACGCGCACCTGCTAAGGGCCGGCATTGCCTGGCGCTATCGGCGTGAGGCGCCGCGAAGAAGGATCGGCCCCGTCACGGCTTTTGCTGACAGTGCGCACTGCCGTTACACTCGCCCCGTGCCCCCCACCCCCACCCAACTCCCCCTCGTCCCTCGGCCCCCCGCGCCGCCGCCGCCGCTGCTGCTGCTGCTGTCACGATGCGTGCAGCAGCAGCAGCAGCGTGATGAGTGTCGCTTCTTCCCCATCGTCATTAACGAGCGGCGGCTCTGCGCCCGCTCGCGAATCTCCGCCACGCGAACTGCACGCGGCAGCGGCGGTTACTGCCAGAGTCGTTGGGTTACCGGCCCACCTCGACCCAGATGATTTGGAAGATAGACATCATCACGGGAGATGTTGCTCCCCTGGTTCATCACCCCCCCACCCGTCTTTCCACCTCGTCACCCCCCCCCCCCTTCCTCCTCATCCCTGAAACACTTCATGATCGGCACGCGGAGAAACCCCCACCGCTGTCGCTACGAGCGCTGGAGGACGAGGACCACGAGGAGGAGGAGGAGGTTTCGTCTCGCGTGCGGGCTCCGTGCGCACGCCTATGGCGCAGTGACGATGCCTGTCGGGGCACTTCCGCTTTAATCGGAGCGGGTCTGTAATTGCCTCCGCGCGTTTTCCTTTGCAAGACTCTCTCGAGCGATCGTGCTTGCGTCCTCTTCACAGACACAAGGACAAACATCCACCGTATCGCCTTAACTGGCTGTTGGGGCCAGTGCCGTTAGCGGCCAGCTATGATGGGGGAGTGGGTGGCCAACACCATGCCCGGCGCCCTTTGTCTCCTTCGTAGCGATGTTTACAGACCGAAGAGTTACTAATTTAATACACACACACTGACATAGACATACACACAGATCAATATCTTATTATCAGTGCCCCGTGGATGCGTCTAATGACTCTTAACACTGCCGTGCGCGCGCACGTGCCCGCTCGCCACGGCCTGACGTCACCCCGAGCTGATGCACGCCTGCCCACTCACCCCCACCCCCACCCGAACTCCCCACACCCCCTCTCCTTTGTCAGATTCACCCCCCCCCACCCGCATCCCCCCAAAGTCCTGCACGTCGCCCACCACTCCCCCCACCCACTGCTGTGACATCGCCCAAAGGACCGCGAACTATTTTTTTAATATTGGACTCAGCGTGGGACCAGCCGGACGCTGAGTCCAATCAATTTAAGCAATGGGGCATCATCGTCATCCTGTTCTAATCACCATCACGAATAATCATTTGTACTCTGATAATAATCATGACCATAATTGTCATCATCATTCCTACTCTATCATCGTTATCATCATCATTATCAGCCTCCACTTCGCATGCTGATAATCATCACGAATTAAATCATCATCAGCAAACTGAGTGTCATCATAACTCGCATCATCCTTACTATCATCGCCATCATCATCATCTCGGCTATCATAATCCAGAATCTCATTGCGATCTGGAAAACCACGCTCGCATCGTCGAGGGCCTCACTCCACGTCCGTATCCACGAACGCATGAAGCTCGGTTCAGAACAACGAGAGGGCCACGTGGTGCGCAGAGAGAGAGAGGGCAGGGGAGACCACACCAGGGTCGCCTCATTCGTGGATGGAGGGTTCATCATTCGCAGAGCGGTTCGGTATTCATCCAGCAGCCGCGCCACTCATTCTTAAGACTCCTTTCGGATTGGGATAGATCCTTTACAGGTCTCTCGCCATAGATCACCACGAAGGATGTAACTCCTGAAGAAGCTCCCCGGCACTTGGAGCAAGGCGTCGGACATCGTGGCCATCAACGCGCGGCACGACCCGAAAACGCACGGGAATGTGAACGGCAGCAGTAGCAGCACGACCGCGAACGCCCACGCAGCAGATTCGATTATTCATTCAGAGCAAACGAGAGGCGGCTGAGACTAAACATCGAATTTCACCTGGGTAAGGGTCGGCGGTCAGGTTTATACATCCCCAATAAGGTCATCGATAACGCACAGAGTAGAAATCGCTGGCAACATAACGTCAGTCGTTTTTTTTTTTTATCGCGGGCTCAGGTTTTGTTTCATATGTTGCCAAACTTAACGGCGTTGGTCAGAGCGGATTTGTGAGGGGATGGGGGAAGGGGCGGAGAGGGGGCAGGTTCGGGTCCAGACATCATCCGCCACTGATGTTAGCCGTGGCCTAGAATCGGACCGAGCGGGACCAGGTTAATCACACAACGCGCTAACCAATGCACCACCCATTAAATAATACAGTACGTTACTATAAATAATATAAAGCATCACGCGAATGAGAAAAAAAAGTTTATACACAGAAAGTTTTAAACCGAGCGTAGATTCCAACATTTTGTTATTGGTCACTCGCGCTCGGATTGACCAATCACAAAGGGCCCAAGTGGCCCACAACCCCGGCCTGCAGGGAGGGGATCCGGCCTACACGATGGACGTTCGACCAATTCCCCCGTGCGTAGTTGTGCGTGTGGGACTGACCGGGGCACCCCAGAGACAACACGGCAGCCTGCACACGAGGGGACAACACTCAGCATGCGCCTACGATGCATCGGATGAGTCTTGTACCTGTTACCTACTTGCTGTACTGTACTGTCCAGGCCACCGCGGCTTATTGGGATCACACGACAACTAATTCGTGTGTGCAATGTTGATATTCTTCCATTCACCATCATCACCATCATTATGCCAATTATTAAGTCGGCACAGTCTCGCCGAGTCTCAAGACTCTTGCTCAGGAGGGTCCTGGGGAATGTTTTTCGGCCGATCCCAGAAGGAGTGAGAGTTTGGCGTCGCGTGGGAGGAGGAGACCCAAACAGTCCAGAGCCAACCCGGCACCGCGCCGCTGTAGACGAGAGGGAGACACCGGGGACTGTCACCTCCTGGCCACCACCTCGCAGCAGCCTCACGCCTTCAACACCTGGCAAGCCCTGGTGGTGGTGCTGGTGGTGGTGGTGATGGTGGTGGTCACCCATCTAAGCACGAGCCAGGCTGAATCCTGCTTAGATGTCGAGATTTCGCCAGACTGGAGCGAGTGTTCGGTGCTCGAGGGTCTGCTCGGTATTCGATTAGAGAATCGCGAGGCCAGATTCTGGTCACTGATGGTGACGCCTCCACGTTACTGGCGTCGCCTTATTACTTATTCATCGATGCGCGAATAATTCAAAGAATTATACAGCCGGAATAACCCCGCAGCTTAACACGAAACGCATTAGCAGATGTATAATGCATGCGGGCCCGGTATCCGCCACACACACACACGCATACCCGCACACAAACACGTACACAAAGACGAGGGTTCCCAGTATAGTCTTAACAGACTTGTGGGGAAAGTGCTGTTATCGAGCATCTTTGAAGGCCGGCACGGCACGCGATGGGTGGGCGGTCAGCACCACGCCCAGTCGTCTTTGTTTCCCTAGTGACGATGCTCACACATCGCAACAGGTACTCATTTGAGGCTGAGTCAATCTAGGGGATGCCCAGGGCAGGTTCAGATAATTATCAGTGGTGTTGGCCGTGAGCAGGAATGGAACTTTGGGATGCCGGGTTCGTAGCGCAGCGCGCTAACCGCTACGTCACCGCTCCCCACAACAGACGCGCACAACCACATACACGAGCGAAAAACAAATACGTGGATCTGGATCTGAGAGGGCGTTGGGGAAAATGTGTTTCAGCCACCACCCTTTCAGAACGGCACGGCACCACTACTCGGAAGATGATGTGGCTTGCAGAACCAGTCTCGCCCGCCTTTGTATCTCCCGTGCAGATATTCACAAGTGACTCGCTGCCTGCCGCCCGAGTTGTTGGGTTCGGTCTGATACCGTGGTGATGTCTTCATCGACTGACAAAAGGAGCGCGTCTTCTGCCGTGCGGCGTGCACGTGGCTCTAGATCCTTGTCGTGTCTCTTGCCGCCTTGGTGGACAGCCCCTCTCCTTGTCAGGCCACCACCGCCGGATGAGGCCCCCCCCCCCTTACCTCGCCCCCCGTAACGTCGTGAATATCCCGGGGGGTCACGTGATCGTGACTTGGTGCTGGTCAGTGTGGGATGGTGAAGGCTCGCCGAGAGAAAGAGAGAGGCATATGGCCGTCTGTGGGAGCATAGCAGTCGAGTACAACTTTCGTATAGTTGCTGCACTGCCCTCTGATGCCCACAACGTCGGCCCTGCAGCAGCTGCCGATAAAACCAAACGGCCTGCTGTGCATGGTGTGCACTCCGTCGAAGCACCAGCAGGCTGAACCCCACTTAGCTGCCATATTGTTACACAGACAACCTACTTTTGTTTGAGGGTTTTAGTCCTTCCCATGTATAAACAGGCTCCCGAGATCCGACGATCAGAGTGATCTGATCTGGCGAGAAGGGACGGGAGGCTACGTCCGCAGACCGCGTGGGATGGGAGACGCATCCCTCGTCACTCTACTTCCAATGACCTCTCAAACACTCTGTAATAATTGGCCGCTAACACCGTAATATATAAAGAGGACAGCAGAGCTTGGCCAATTGTTTGCGCCGGATCACCGTGTGGCTGCCTCTCAGTCGTTCTCGCTCTATCAGAGTGGCACGAACGCTGTGCGGGGCTTCACGGGTGGAAGTTATGTATTATTATTAGTATAGCTGTTCGTCGAGGTACGGGGCGAGCGAACGAGCGAAGCGGGAGAGCGCAGCCGGAGTCACGTGGCGGCACGGCTACAGGGCCTCTCTCCAAATCAGTCGGAGCGAGGACATTCTCGCCAGATCTTGTGAAGTTAGGCAGGGTGGAGCCAGCAGGCTACTGCTTTCAGGGCCACCGCAGTGCAAGAGGAGAGGTGTTGCAGGCTGCAGCGGGACTACGCTGGCAGCAGTTCATCAACGTGCATCGCCGTGCTGTACTTGTCTGCGCCGACGATCACGCTCCCTGACTTCACCCTCCTCGCCCCCGCAGACGCCAGTGTGGTGAAGTATGGTCAAACAGTCTCCAAGACCCCTCGTCCAGCAATGAAGTGCCACACGAGGCCGTGCGTGTACACGCGGATTTACAGACGTGGCTTCCGTGAAACGTGTTTACTTTGGTTGGGCTAGGGACTAGGATCACCTCTCGTCGGTGATTCTTTCGTGAGAATGTGACACGAAGGGACTCGGGTTATCCATAGCGACCTCCCTTTGGTGGAAACTCCCCGAGCGGGATGATGAGACTGAAAGCAGAACCGTGGGGGAAACGCGGGGGGGGGGGGGGGGGTCAACTTGCGTAGCTGATGCGGAATCTGGCAGACGGAAGGAAGCGATGGCGAGCTGTGGTGGTGGCAATCAACGACATCGTCCGTGATGACCTCTTAAACTCTGAGAGCCCTCCCCAGCCACCAGAGGAGGGGCATCTTAATGGGAGGTGGGCTAGGGGGCGAATTCGGTGCTCGCGGACTCCCCATGAAACCGCAGCTGCGTCAAGGATCCCCGTCTACATTCGTAGGGGAACGGGTGGATTTGCTCGGGGGGAGGGGGTGAGGCTTTGCGGGGGGAGAGTTTGTACGGTGGAGGGGGGTTGGGGCCATCAATCATCGCTGATTGCGGCTTAGCGCGAGCCGGCGCCTCGTGCTCGCCCCTGTGTGAGCGACAACAAATCGCACGCGGGGTAACGTTTCGGTACTCCCACCTCTTCTAGCAAGCCCACTGGGCAGCGCGGAAGAGTAGGCCAAATACCCTTGAGAGGAGCTCTCCAGAGCTATATACCGATAGTGGAGGCCCTTTGACCTACAGTGCATGTTCGAGAAATTGCACGGCTGCGCCTTTATCTTTCGCTAGACAATTTGCAGCAAAATCCGTTATCACGCAGGGCTTAATAAATGCAGTCCGGGTCAGCGAGTCAGAACACATTCACGCAGCCGGCACACCACATCTAGTATGCGTCTCGTTATGGCTACCGGTACACGTTTGCTACACCAATCTGCCGGCGACGAGGAGAATGAAGACGTGGCTGGCTCCCTCCGCCCCGTGTTCATATTTAAACGCGCGCGAGATGTAATGCGGATTTGCGAGTCCTCTGGGTCACAAATCCGACTCCCCCCCCCTTCTCGGCCCTCTCTCCCTTTCTCTCCCTCCCCTCTCTCCTCGCCTCATCCGGTCCCTTCCCGTAGCTCCCCCCCCGCCCCCAATCTTCAATTTAATCGCAGGACTGTGGTCTTCGAGCCTTACAAAACCCGATCTCTCTGTTCCCCGCAGCGCCACCCCTACGCCCAGAACCCCCCCCCCAGTATTCCCCCGATTGCACAGCGCCCCTCCCCCGCCGCCTTCCCCCCATGCACCCCCCGCCCCCCTCTGCGTCTCCCAGAGCCAATCTCTGCCCACACGGCTCGTGCACAGGCGACAGTGCCAGCATCAGTTCCAGCGTTGGCAGTCTCTCCGAGTTGTCTGTATCTATCTCTCTCTCTCTATCTCTCTCCATGGCTCTCTCCGTGCATCTGTGCCTGTCCCTGTGTGTCTCTGTCGCTCTTTCAGCCTTGTCTATCTCCCTATAACCCTCTCCGTCTCTCTGTATCCGTCTATCTTTCTTCGTGTGTGTCTCAATGGCTGACTCTCTCGGTAGCTGGCTGTGTCCTTCCGAGCCTCTGCGTAGCCTCATTATGTCTCCCCCCATGTCTTCCTGCGTGTTTCTATCCATGCTGGTCTATCTGCCGCTCTCTCTATATTGCCCGCGTCTGGCTGTCTCTCCATATAGCTCCATGCCTGTCTTTGTGCCTGCTCTTGTCTCTCCGTGTCCTCTTCCCCATGCATTCAGGGACCCACGTTGCGTTGAGACAACTCTCACCAGGAGAGGACCAAGCCCTCTGTATTATGTACGCTTGCAGGACGCTATTCAAATGATAATTTTGATGCTCAGGGTTTGACGTCTCAATATTTCACGGAACGCTGCTAGGAACTGGCTTGGAATCGGGATTAATTGGAATAAAGCACTACCACGAGAGTATAAGCCGCAACTATCATCAAACCAAGGCGATATGGATGTGGCATGCCAACAATTCCGGTGACATTGTTCTGGAATGTTCTGGCTGAAATTTAGCACTGATGATGATGTTGATAATAATGCCCCATGATAGTGATGATGGTAAACATGGTATCACGATGGTGGTGATTGTAATACTGTAGCATGATGGTCATTATGATGTCTACAGAGGTGCTCACTCCATTAATCGGTGCATGGAATGAATCGCCCTCTGACAAAATCTGCCAAGTAGTTCAACGCGAAAGCGGGCCGTTCGCAATCGCAAGGCTCTGAATTCAAATCACCCCCCCCCCCCCCCCGTCAAATGAATTATGTGGAATTTCCACATCATTCATATGGGCTGTGAACATGAAATCACTGTCATTTATTTGCCCAAATCACCTAGAATGTGCCGCCCTTCCTCCCGCCCCCTTACCCTCCCATGTATCCAAGACGTGTCGGTGAGCCTTCTGGCCGTGGTGGTGACGCTATGTGGCGTGGCGCTGCTGGGGGTGTCCCTGTTCGTCTCGTGGAAGCTCTGCTGGGTTCCATGCCGGGACCGCGAGCGGGAGGCGAGGGCCGCGGCGGCCGGAGCTGCGCGCTCGGCGCCCTACTTGCCGCAACAGCTGCTGGGCGCCGCGCCCGCTCTCGACGTCAACGGCCTGGAGTACGAGAAAGCTCCTCGTGCCGACGACTCCATCGTGGGAGGGCCTCAGCAGCAGCAGCAGCAGCCGCCGCTGCAGCAGCCGCTGGTTCTGCAGCAGCAACCGGCACAGCAGCCGGTGCAGCAGCAGCAGCAGCAGCAGCATTCGACGGAGCCAGAGCTACAAGCACCCGCCGAGGCCATGGTCCGGATGAGCCACACGTCTCCAGATATCCATGCGAGCGGGAGAGACAGCAACCCCGTGGGACAGCAGCAGCAGCTGCTGCCTTTGCAGCCGTTGCAACAGCAGCCGCAGCCGCTGCCGCTTCCGCAGCAGCAGCAGCAGCCCACGCCGCAGTGCCCACAGCCGCAGCAGCGCGCGGTGCAGCGGCAAGGGACGGACCAGTCAAACTCGTCACGGTGAGCGGCAGGCACGGCACGCAAGGGCAGTGGGGGCAGTCCGAGGGAGATTTGGGGGTGGGGCAGTGCCCACGGGCGTTCAGAGACCACGGTCGCAGGGTCGGAGGCAGAAGTAAATGTTTGAAAAAAATGTTCAGACCAGGAATTGCTCGCCATGCGAATGTGGAATTTCCACAGCCGGTTCAGTGCCGCTATTCGAGGTGAGTTCGAGTGGAGAAAGTGAGGTTAAAGGTGCGGCCCTGCAATTACTGGCTCACGCCACTGCTGGCGAAAAGCCTTCCACTCGATGGTAGTTTGGCCTACTCTTCCACGATGATTGTACGTCTTGGAAAAGGTGAACGCCCACACTTTACCTCACGACCACACGCAACGTGCTGTGATGAACCCATTCATAAATGCCGGGTGGACAGAGGCCGTGACGGTAGGGGCGGTGGGGAGATGGATTAAAGAAACTTGGCCCATTGTTTAAACTGCCGCGCCGCCAGATCGAATCGAATCGAAACTGGGACCTCTGCATCGCAATTCTCGATTGCGCCAGGAGTCTCACCGCGAGAGGCGGGGAGGCAGTGGGTTCATTCCTCTCTAAACACTGCGCGGCGATGCTCGCGTCGGGGCAATTATAAGAGGCTCTCTGAACAACGCTCCCATCACGGGTGACAAATTCGCGACACGTGCTCGGCGTGTTTACGCGTGAGTGGTGGCGTTTACGCCTCCGCAGAAGTCTCGTGAACGTTTACCGGGAGAAGTGCCGATTACCGGAACAACACTTCTCCTGCCGCTGTCTTCTTCTTCTTCTTCAAGCTGATTACGCGAGGTAGATCGGATAATGAAGTGAGTGGCTTTTGCGAGCTCTCCAAAGCCCACGCGAGCGTTCGAGGCGAGGGCGCCATGGTTGCCCTCCCTCGCCTTCCAAGTTAAATTCCACGGTGCGCCCATGCGTGCGAGTGCGTGAGTGTGCGTGGAGAGCCTCGGGCGAGTGCCTGGTGCCGTGTCTAAAACATCGGCACTGGTGGAGACGAAGGCGGCCGGTCGTAGTCCTGGCCACCCACCCCCTCGTGTGTGCCGTGATGGCCTTCATAGGTGCTGCTCGCTACCAGCACTTGCCCGAACAGTTGTGTCGGTCTAAACCCGGTGCATTGCTGCTTTTGCGTGGTTGTGTGTGGCGTGTGTTCCAACATAACACGTGGGGGTCTGTCCCGTGACCTCCTGCCAGCGAGCCTTCGATACTGCACGTGGCCCACGTGTTAAACAAACTGCGCGTTGCCTCTGAGTAAGCACGCGCTGTGGGGACGTCGCTGTCACCTAGTGGCGAATGGCGACTGCTATTATTATGATTATTCATAATTAATCCCACTACACTTGTTTGCCCAGGACAGCCTCGCTGAGTCTCAAGACTCCTTTTTCAGGAGGGTCCTGCCAAGTTTTGCGTAGTAAGTAGACTTGATCAGATTTGGCCCGTGTTGCCTTAACCCCCCGCCACCTCCCGAACAAAACCCCACCATGCGCTCTCGACTCCCCGCGCTCCCCGCAGTCCCAGCTCCATCCGCACGCTGCTCAACCGATCCTCCCGGAGCGGCTCGGAAAAAACTGCTGCGGGTGGTGCCAGTGACGGCGCGGCCGTCCCGCAGACCAACACGCTGGGCCGCATCAAACCCGAGCTCTACAAGGCGCGCCCCTCCGTGCCGGCCGTGGGGTCCGTGGCGGGGGGGATCGGCGGGGGAGTCGTCGGGATCGGCGGAGGAGTCGGCGGGCTTGCCGGCGTCGGCGTCGGCGGCGTCTGCGTGGAGGAGGCCGGCACGCAGCTCGTCCCGGCGGCCGGCGTCGGGGACGCGGGGATCGTCGGAATGGGTGGCGGCGTCGGCGACGACGCGGATCCGTGCGAGTCGGGCGACATGAAGGCGCCTCCGTGCGGCCGCATCAACTTCCAGGTGCGCTACGACTACGAGGGCGAGCAGCTGGTGGTGAAGATCAACAAGGCGGTGGACCTGCCCGCCAAGGACTTCTCGGGCACGTCGGACCCCTACGTGAAGATCTACTTGCTGCCCGAGCGCAAGCGCAAGTACCAGACCAAGGTGCACCGCAAGACGCTCAACCCCGTGTTCGACGAGACCTTCCAGTTCGGCGTGCCCTACAGCGAGCTGGCGAGCCGCCGGCTGCACTTCAGCGTCTACGACTTCGACCGCTTCTCACGGCACGACATCATTGGCACGGTGCTGGTGGACAACCTCCTGGAGGCCACGGACCACTCGCGCGAGACGTCCATCTGGCGCGACATCGAGTTCTCCAGCACGGTACGCGCGATGACATCCCGGTGGGGTGGGGGGGGGTTCCATTGCGCAATTTGCGCGCAGATTTTCCATCAACTTTCGATGCAAGTCAGCGACGACCGAGGGAGACGTTCGCGGAACGTGTTTTGTGCAGCGCGCCACAGGGCTTTAATATCAGCCGGGTCTCTCCGGGTTGACATCCAATATACGACGTCTCGCTATGGCTGTGGATACTACCAGTCACGTACCACCTACTCCAGGCTACCATAGACCCAGACAATATTCAGCGAGAAATCAACCCCGCCCCCGTGATGATTCCGGGTACTCCAGCAAATACACAGAATACTCTGTACAAGCGGTAACAGTCAGTACTCAGTACCAGCAGTAGAACTGAGTATTCAGGACAGTGACACGAAGGGCTTTAATACAAATACAGGAAGACTTAACTCCCACAATCTCCTCAATCATAAATTAAGAGGTGCGGAATTTTGATGCCAGGAACATTCGTAAATTGCTTCATTGGGAGACGCACGGCAATTGTCGACTATAGAGTCACCACTGAGTACTCTGACTATAGAGTACCACTGAGTACTCTGACTATAGAGTCATCACAGAGTATTCTGACTATAGAGTCACCACTGAGTACTCTGACTATAGAGTCATCACAGAGTACTCTGACTATAGAGTCACCACTGAGTACTCTGACTATAGAGTCACTACTGAGTACTCTGACTATAGAGTCATCACTGAGTACTCTGACTATAGAGTCACCACTGAGTACTCTGACTATAGAGTCATCACTGAGTACTCTGACTATAGAGTCACTACTGAGTACTCTGACTATAGAGTCACCACTGAGTACTCTGACTATAGAGTCACCACTGAGTACTCTGACTATAGAGTCACCACTGAGTACTCTGACTATAGAGTCATCACTGAGTACTCTGACTATAGTCACCACTGAGTACTCTGACTATAGAGTCACCACTGAGTACTCTGACTATAGAGTCACCACTGAGTACTCTGACTATAGAGTCACCACTGAGTACTCTGACTATAGAGTCACCACTGCGTACTCTGACTATAGAGTCACCACTGAGTACTCTGACTATAGAGTCATCACTGAGTACTCTGACTATAGAGTCACCACTGAGTACTCTGACTATAGAGTCATCGCTGAGTACTCTGACTATAGAGTCACCACTGAGTACTCTGACTATAGAGTCACCACTGAGTACTCTGACTATAGAGTCATCACTGAGTACTCTGACTATAGAGTACCACTGAGTACTCTGACTATAGAGTCATCACAGAGTATTCTGACTATAGAGTCACCACTGAGTACTCTGACTATAGAGTCATCACTGAGTACTCTGACTATAGAGTCACCACTGAGTACTCTGACTATAGAGTCACCACTTAGTACTCTGACTATAGAGTCACCACTCAGTACTCTGACTATAGAGTCACCACTGAGTACTCTGACTATAGAGTCACCACTGAGTATTCTGACTATAGAGTCACCACTGAGTACTCTGACTATAGAGTCATCACTGAGTACTCTGACTATAGAGTCACCGCTGAGTACTCTGACTATAGAGTCACCACTGAGTACTCTGACTATAGAGTATCACTGAGTACTCTGACTATAGAGTCATCACTGAGTACTCTGACTATAGAGTCACCACTGAGTACTCTGACTATAGAGTCACTACTGAGTACTCTGACTATAGAGTCATCACTGAGTACTCTGACTATAGAGTCATCGCTGAGTACTCTGACTATAGAGTCATCACTGAGTACTCTGACTATAGAGTCACTACTGAGTACTCTGACTATAGAGTCACCACTGAGTATTCTGACTATAGAGTACCACTGAGTACTCTGACTATAGAGTCATCACTGAGTACTCTGACTATAGAGTCACCACTGAGTACTCTGACTATAGAGTCACCACTGAGTACTCTGACTATAGAGTCATCGCTGAGTACTCTGACTATAGAGTCACCACTGAGTACTCTGACTATAGAGTCACCACTGAGTACTCTGACTATAGAGTCACCACTGAGTACTCTGACTATAGAGTCACCACTGAGTACTCTGACTATAGAGTCACCACTGCGTACTCTGACTATAGAGTACCACTGAGTACTCCGGCACTGCACGGGTCACGCCCACCCGCTTGTGCGTGACCCGTCGTTTGGCGGCCACAGCACGCACCGCGAGCTCGGCGATCTGCCTCCGTTGGTCACGTGTCTCCGTCTCCCTCTCTCGCACGGGGGCAACAGGGGCAGCCCTTCCCCCCCCCCCTGCCCGTCTCAGTCTCAACTCCGTGCGGACGTCTACCGTTGAGTATAGTTGGCTACGTACGGTGCGAAAGAAACTCAACATGGATACTTAAATACTGATCTTGTCAGCCATCGATACATTGTAGCACCTCTTAATTTACGATCCGTTCAGACAAAAATAGGAGTGATTGTCTTATTATTATTAATCATGATACCTGAGAGCTCTGTCAGCCCACTGCTGGCTGAAGGCTTTTCATCGGGGTTCAAAGGTCACGTTTATTTGATTTAACCGATGAAAGAGAACTCACGAGGCCAGGATGAGTCTCATTTACAAGAGTGACCTGGGTCGTTTTTGGCCAAACTTCACCACACTGGTCAGTCCTCATTGGTAAAGGTGGGGGGGGGGGGGGTAGGGGGCGTGCCCGGGACCGGTGCAGATTATTTCTCGCCACTGATAGTAGCCGTGACCTAGAATGAAACTCAGACGGCCAGGTTCACAGCGCGCTGTGAACGCGCGCTGTGAACCGCGGTGGCACCACGCCACCTCTTCTCTTATTATTAACATTTGCTATGATATTAAACGGCACCGAGAGGGATGGCTCGGCATCAAAGCCAGTTTCTCTAAATCCTCTGGAGGATTGTGACACACACACAATGTTTTGCCTTCAAGCGTAGGCAAGCGTCAAAGAAGATTTAGGAGAGACCGAACGACGCTGCGCGTCCCCCAGGGTGAGTGGCGAGTCCGTAGTGGCACTTTGGCTTTGGCTTGCAGAGCGAGGAGCTTTGGAGATTACCGTGGTCTTTTTTTATATTTTAATCAAAAAAGGGCCAGTGACAGGGCTGTCGCTTTCCAAAGGAGACCCAAACTTGACAAATCGCCGGCGCTCGCGAATCTGAACGGGGCGGCGGGGCCAGGCGGCGGTGATGAGGAGGGGGACGGCACCAGAATCTGAGAGGCGCCGCCGCTGCCGAGAATCAGTGAATGCTCTTGGACGAAATCGTTCACACGATCCGTTTTAGAATGGATTTTAATCATGATGCTCTTATTGCGTGTTTAGTATGCCTTTCATTATGCTTTTGAGTTCATTATAATGTTACGTAATTGTTTTAAATGTATAATTCTTATTGTTCTTTACGTTGCGTCAGTCGCTTTTACTGTGTCCTGTAAGGCACTTGGCATTGCATTTTTGCACGCATTGTGCCGTGTGAGTAAAATTCGATGATTTGATTGCCGGCACGCACGAAGCTTCGCGTCCTGAAGTTCGACGCCGGGACAGGGCGCGGCGGTGGCAGAGGGAATGTGAACACGCAGACGCGAGCACTCACCCGGACACTCGCACTGGACGAAAGAACCACCACCACTAACAACAATAACAACAACAAACTACAACAACGGCCATTCGCCGCCAAGTGGCGGTGATGTCACCGCGACGCTTGTGCCAGGCTAGGTGCACTTCGAGGTCACGTCAAGTGTGCAAGGTTCGCTACCGGCATGGAGGTCACGAGACAGGCCCAGGTGTTATGTTTAAACTGACTGAGATGACTGGCAGACGCACCCGCCTGTGCTTCCCACTGCGCAAACTCGCTGCGATTTCAGGTACCCGGCGCTCTGCTCGTCGTCGTGAGCTTCGCTCCTCCACCCTCCTCGCATTAGAACTAACGCGACAGCATATGCACTTCCACTAGCGAACATAGTTTAGCGCCGATGTACACGAACACTAGCACAAACACTGACACCGGCCCACGCACCAGCGCCAGAATATTCATATTCATTCAGACGCGGGGAGGATGGTGGGGAGGATGGTGGGGGGATGGTGGGGAGAATGGTGGGGGGAGAGAATGTTAACGAGTTAAGTTCGACCCCCCCCCCGCCTCCATCGCCCCCACATCACTGAGCTATACGAGTGAGCATTAAACAAATACATATCCAGCACGAGAGAATAATGACGCGCACTGGATGGTATCTGTAGCGCGGGAGAAGAGACAAGCACAGGCCTACTGCGCATCGTCGTCTGATTTGACCTTTATATTATCATAGCAGGAGTAGTAATAATACTAATAATAATGGTATAATAATGAATCAGATTACAGAGATTAATGACAGCGGGAGAGGTTCGTCGCCAGAAAAATCCTGAGTGCTGGGACAAAAGCGCGCTTTGATTTAAGGCGGCGCCGTCCATCTCAGCGTGCCAGCGTTTCTCACAAAGAGGAGAAGGAGGAGGAGGGGGGGGGGGTAGAAGAGAGAGCGGCAGGGCAACAGAGGGAGAGGGCCGCTGTGAGAGCGAGGAAGCTCGGGAGCGAAAGTGCGCGCGCAAGGACCACGCCACTGAAACGTGACTGTCGCCTGCCTGGGCCGCGGCCTCGTCTGTGACCGAGCCCGAAACGATGAGGCAGGCCGACGGGTGGCTCGGAGCTCAGAGGCGTTGTGGCGGTACCGCCGGGGGCCTGGGTTTGAATCCGTCATTGGTTAAACCGGGTTTACAGGCGCAGTGCGTCTATGGTGCCAGCCTGACCATCAATGACTCCACGTACACAGACAAGAAAATTGTGTTACATTTAGTTCTGCAGTAAAATGTAGCAATATCACAAATTTGAGGATACAAAGTATTGCTTTTACTGTCACGCGACAAACATTATTAACGGTGTGCAGAACGGATGGGAAAGCGCTGCCCACCTGCTACTGTGTGGACCGGAGATCACTTAAAGGAATCTCAGAAGTAGCTCTGGGATATGCAC